GCTGGGAGGGCTGAGACAGGAGGATCACTATGAGCCGGAACTGCGTAGAGAGACCCTGTATCAAAAGAATTAAAAAAATTAAAAAAAAAAATACACCTGTTGTAACTACAGGATGTTAAGGAAAAAAATAAAATCTGTAAATCTGAAATATTTCTTTCCTGCTCAAATTCCTGTAAGTGTACCCACTCCTTCACAGCAACTTCAAAATCAGAGAGTGAAAGGAATATAATCGAGGAATTTACAAAGGAGAAAGTCCGATTATGCATTCTGTAAAGGGTTTCCCAGAAAATGGAACTTCACCCCAAACCTGCGTGGTAAGCACGGGTCTCATACACTTACAAACACGGATCTGGTGCGCATCATACACGCAAGTTTCAGTTCCTTTCTTCTCTCCACCATGAGCCAGACCACGTACGCATTGTGCTCTCTTCCCAACAGCCCCTACTGTCTCTATACTGTATTTTCTAAACCTTGGGGCACAGCTTCACAATTTATGAAATCTGCTAAAAAGGTACATAAAGAAAAAAGAAAATTACCAACCACTTGATAAAGAGACGTAACTAAAACACCAAGTGCCGCGAACACCACTCCAAGGAAATTAAACTTCACATCGTAATAAGAATTTAGGATTACACCTAAAGTTATTGGAATCTGTAAAGAAAAAGAGGCAAACGCTGAGGTTATGCTCAAGATACATACAGGGTGTATTCATCTTACTCTCTTATATGCCTAATCATAAACACATAATTGGGGAACAATGAAGCTACATTTTTTTCATTTGGGAAAACTATTAATCCTACCTCCTAAACGACAGATGTAATTTCATACTGATATTCACATTTAATCCTATTTTAAATTTGAGGTAAAATACTGAGTTCATGTTCTGCACAAGAAAATACCACTTGCACGGACAGGTAAGTAAATGGACTCCAAAACTAATGTTTACACAACGTATACGCATAAACACATAACAAAACATTAAGATCTTAAATATAACAAGTTGCTAAGCGCTAACGTTCTATCAGTACCTCTCCTTTTACTTAAAGACGCACGCACCTCTGCAGTGCGTTGGGCAGGCATATTCGGAGGCATTTTAGGTAGGCTTTTTCACGTTTATCATTCGTGATTTGATCCCGCTGGGGAGGGGGGTTATTTTTCAGACTGGGCTGCGCTACTTTCTCCACCGCAGCATCAGAGCGCCCATCAAACACTAACTGCTAAAGCCCACACGAGCACACCCTTCTTGGGCCAGGAGTCCACTACAATCCTGCAGTTCACAGGACTCTCTCGAGGGTCCGGGACACGGCGAGGGCGTGGCGCTAGGCTAAGGCACAGCGCGTTCCAACTTGCCGCCAGGACGCCTCCCGCCGCAGCCCGAGCTACTCACCAGCGTGAGCCGAATCCTGGTGGAGAAGCGCTTCTGGTAGCACACGGTCTGCACGGCGATGATCACCGGCGTGGTCATGGCCTTGGCCAGCTGGTAGGTGCCGATCGTGTTGTTCTGCAGTGAGAGGTTGGTGAAGACCACGAAGCCACAGAAGCTCAGCGCCAGGAGGAGGAGCTTGGAGGGCGGCAGGCTTTTGGGGGCAAAGATGTCCAGCTTCTGGCAGATGTACAAGCCCAGCCAGGTGACCACGAAGTGCACCAGGGTCAGGCTCATGTTGGGGAAGCCGTGGTGCACATAGATCCATTTGTTCAGGAACACGATGCAGATGGACACCAGCAGGTTGAACACGAGCCCGGCGGCGATCCGCCCGTGGCCCCGGACTCGCTCGGCCAACGAGGCCATGACGCCCCCCGGCCGAGCCGTGCAGCCTCCCGCGGGGCCGGCGCCCTCGTCCCC